GTATTTTACATTTGAAATGTGATTGGAACGGAGACGAAGCTGTCGTTAACAAATTCCATTTATCTCGTGGCAAACAAGTGATCGGTGTTGCCATCTAGCACGCTCGAGAAAAACTAAAGACAGGATAGACAGGATGTTAAATTTGATTTTATGCTTCGGATTCCAAAATACTTTGGGGGGGGGGGAAAGTCGAAGGTATAAACCGAATCGTCTCAGCCTTTCGTGCTTGAACAGTCATTTGTGCAATCAGAGCGCCTGAAATATTGAGAATATGATAAATTTTATGAATTGTAATAAATTGTAGTTTCGATCAATGGCGTCAAAATATGAATAGAAGAATTGGTGCAGCGTAAAATCCTATGTTCAATTTGCGATTATAAATATAATATATCCTGTACCGCGTGTTATTTGTAATTTTTTTAAAGAAAAATCTAGTTCCATTTCAAACCGTTACTGCTACAGTGAATTGATAACGTCGCGAGAATGACGAAGAGACATCAGATGACTCTCCTAACGTCGGACACGAAAGAGCATTATACGTCGGGTCTATTCTGCATCTTAGTCAATGATACAGCAATAAAGACAACAATGTCGACAGTTTTGTACGATGATGTAAATTACAGTCGGTATATCACGTTTATCGTTGTTTAGTCTCGTTACAAATTTCACTAAAGTGGCTTTTTAGTAAAGCTCGTGCCACGAGAACAACTCGTTCGACGTATTATTAACAAAACAAATTAGCATTGGGACACAAAGTAGGTCGAAAATGTTTTCCTAACTGTTTCTTTTTTTTTTTTTTTCATCTATGTATAGTGAAACGATTTCGGAGATGTATTTAAAGTATTGCGCCACGCAGTAATGCGAATCTTAAAGTACTAGCTGTGATAGTTATATAATATAATTAAAATGATTGTAAATATTTTGTGTATCTTTTTTAGAATTTTGCCCTTTCGACGATAGTGCGTACAAAATAACGCAAATTGAGATTTCAAAATGATGGATAACGTTATGCGACGGATCATTTGATACTATTGACATACGTACACGTTTCTTGCTTTCTTTCCTATTGCTTACTTGTGATAACATGCATAAGATTGTACTTCCTGCATCATTTGTCACTTAAGTATGTGTTTGTCACTGAACAAAGCGGATGATCTAAGAAATGTATGATAATCGTGTAAGTGCCTTGTTATTTCACAGTCGTTAAATTAATATACCGCGTAATTTCTTTTTATACTCGAGAACAATAGATATGTTATGTTTCTTATTGTTTTTGTATCGCATATGTTATATTTTATCAGTTGGATTTAATTTAAGAATATGGATTTAATTTAATTAAATATCTATAACCTGCATATTTTAGAAACTTATTTTTTCATTTACAAAATTGAAAATGATACTTGTCGTTTAAAAAAATTAAACTAAATGAGACATTACCGACGAGTAAATGAAACTTTCGCTTTATAAATTGTACAACAGAAATACTTTATAATCTTATTTTACTGTTTCTCAGATCGACACAGAGATATATTGGAATTGATCTTGAAATTATCGTTAAAATTTTTTGGTCTTTGTAAATTGAAAAGGATACGAAAATGACTAACATTCGAGATGAAGCTGTCATGCAAGAGATAATGGTACTTGGAAAACTTTTGCACCAGAATGGGGAAAAAGTGTTAAATGCATCTGGCAAGCTCTGTTTGTCCGCTAGTTTACTGTATAATTTAAACGAAGCTTTCTCTTTGGTTGCCAATGGATGCGAAGATTTGGAAGCTTCGTTTCAAGTGTGCAATAGCTCAAAGATTGACATATTTCACGATCTGAAATTTCTACATGACTTTGTACAGAAGACAATTGGACTAAAAGTGACTTATTGTCCAACCAATCCTAAGATACCTGTTGACGTTACTAAATTTAAATGTTTGAAATATCTAGAATTAAAAAAAATCAACGTCGATACTGTAGAAGGACTTAGACGCGTTAGAGGCCAACTTGAAAGCATTATCTGTGCTGGTAGAAAAGGAGTTTCTGATTTGAAACAGTTGTTGGGTAATTATAATTAAAAAATTACAATCGTTACGATTAAGCAGTACGTTTAACGTTAAAAATACTACTGTCTTTACACAGCAAATTGTGGCGGAGACACTGGCATTGGATTTGTGTGGGGCTCTTTGAAACATTTGGCATTGCCGCACAATGCTCTTGAAAAATTGGATACGTCTTTAGAGTTAGTACCTTGGTTACAAGTAATAGATCTAAGTCATAACTTGATAACGTCTGCAGATGAATTATCTTGTTTGCCAAATTTGAAACATGTAAATCTTGGATATAACAAACTTGAAAGAGTACCTACCTTTAACGAAGCTGCGTCACGCTTATTGCAAGTACTAGTTCTGAAGAATAATTACGTAGAAAACTTGGATGGTAATACATTGCGTTTACCTATTTTTATATACATAATTTATAAGAGCGTAAATATATATACGGATTATTTTTGTTAAAACAGGTATGCAAAGTTTAGAATGTTTAACAGAATTAGATTTATCGTACAATTGTCTGATGGAACATTCAGTCTTGCGGCCTTTGGAAAAAATGTCTGCTTTGTTATGGGTATCGTTAGAAGGCAATCCCTTATCGTATCATCCGAAACATCGATTATTATCCGTAAAACATTTACATCCAGCTTTGAGCGATAGCAAGGTAGAGCATAGGCGCAATGTGCTGTACTATTATAAAACGTCAGTTTTCCAACAAAACGTTATACGTTGAGTGTGAATAAAATTTCACGATTTAGTTTGTTTTAGATCATTCGTCGTCTTCAAGAACGGAGAAACAAATTATTGCAGATAATCGATTCTTTACGATTAGATCTGAAAAATCCGCGTCAAAGGAATTGCTCGATTCAGTATCAAACTCTTCCTTAAATTCCAGCACCTTCTCTGTGCCTGTCGACGCATCTACGATTAACGAATTTGTAGCAGGAACGTCGGAGAGAAGAGATAGTATAGAAAGAAACTTACCTAAAAGTAAAAAGAAATCGCATAACATAAAAGAAGCAGTTATCGCGGAAGTTGAACATGAAAAAAAAGATGTAAAAGCAGATCCTAGTATTTCTTATTTAGGTAATAAATTATTTTCTAATTTAATTTAATTGTTCTTTTAGGTTAAGATAATCGAGTTAACGTAAAAGAAAATATTAATTCTTCGACTTTTCTTTTTTGTTTGCAGAAACCTCGAAAAGTCATTTAGAAACGAAGAAACAAATTTTGGAGATACGAAGAAGATACGGAGAAGACAAGTGGTTAAGTAGTCAAGCTGGGACATTTGTTCAAGATATTATGGGATTACAACCTCCGACGTATTCGGTAACGTCGGAATTTACGATAGAAAATTTAGATGCTACAAATATACCCAGTATCGAAGATTCTGCGAGTCTCTTGACGAAAGATGCGCAGTCTGAATCTTTGACGGAAGCGACTAGTGAATTTAACAACGAAAATGAAGATGAAACTAAAGTATTAACCGAAGAAGAGAATATTTCCGAAGTTGCATCGAATAATGATGCGAACGCTCTTGAGAATACGTCCGAACCTGCGTATGATCCAGAACAAGGTATATTATGAAGAGTCAGTTGCATATATATATTGTTAAAAAATTGTTTTACTTTAATTGTTGCATTTTTAATATCTCAATAGAAGTGGGGAATTTGTATCTGGTTCAGAAAAAGAAACACTCGAGCGAATTGGAAGATTTGTTCTTAGTGATAACACCGGAGTAAGTATTCTTGATATTTGTTTAAAAAAAATTTTACATTTTCATTTCTATCGTATCTAATTGCGTATATCGTAGTGTTATTCGAGAGAGAGATTCACTTACTGGGAAATTGAGATGCTGTTGGTCAACGAGTTCCGTCTTATCGTGTGTACTTGGCAGGAGTGAACCAGTAACGGTAGATATGATTTTTGATACCACACGAGAACATCGCCAAAACAGGAGATATTTTGTAGAACTAAACACTGCAAAAGTAAGGAATGAGAAATATAAATGACATGCGAATAATATTAACGTATTATTTAATCATTTTGCAGGAAATAGTCGAAATAATTAACGAGAGAATAAAAACAACACCAATATTGTTAAAAGTTTTCAAATGCATGAAATGTTCGACTCATTTTTCTCAAGATTCAGAGTATATTACTTTTATAAGTTCGTCTGCATCAGGTATATCTTTTGAGAACAACACAGATTAGAGATATTTTACTAATTACGAAACGTAACTAAATAAAATCTTAAAATGACAAATTTAAATATGTATTTCAGCTACAAATCAGTTGAAATGCCCCACCTGTGAAAGTACTTTAGTTATAGAAATCGACGAATTATCGACTTCGAACGTAGAAAATAATACTCCCGAAGATTTATCGGAGAACGTGACCAAAAATCAACATTCGATGAACCCAGCAAAATCCGATTTGCAACATTCTGGATCTTCCTCTAGTATCGGTAAGTTCCAGTCGGCTTTGCGATATCTGTAATTGATATTTCGATTAATACGAGAATGAATGCAACGTTTGACAAAAGTCACGTATTTTTTAATAACGAAATACCTTGAGTTTACTCGATGCGACGCAATTTCTATCATTGAATTTCTATCTATATAACGTTTCAATTTATTAATTTTAAAGGTAAAATAATAAGACTTCTACGGCAAACGTTAACCATACATTTGTTTGTTTATAATTTCAAGTTTTTGTAATATAATATCAGTACGTTTAAGTTTTACGACAGAAATAACAATCATTAATTTATCGAATGCGAATGCACTAATTTTGTAACTACCGACTACTGCATATCCATGTATCGTATTATTGATTGGGATTATAACATACTAATCCCGGTGCAGGTGGAACGGAGGGTCGAGCTATATCCGTCACCACTTCTCTGGTACAGTCCGACTCTCGCACACAAGTTCAAGTCCGCTGTAAGCTTCAGCCACAGTATTTTATTACAGCGATTTCTGTTTTCTCAAGCTTGTTTCACGATTAAAGAGTAACACAAAGCTGTAATATTACTTGCTTCACTATTTACGATTGTATACTAGTAATATCTCAGGGCCATATTTTTATTTTTGTATTTACATATTTGTTCTAAATAATTACAGCGATTTTATTATATCAAACAAAAAAAAAAAAAAAAAAAAAAAAACTAACCACGAGAGAAAATGTGCAAAATATTGTAAAGAAAAATACGAGTCCAATCTACTTGAAAAGTAAAAGATTGGACGAAGCAAAAAGAAAAGTATGAGCCATCTTTTTGATCAATATATAATTTATATTTATAAACTTATAATTATTACAGTAATATATGTATATAGTAAATACTGTGCGTTAATTTTAGATGATTTAGATTATTTTTGATTTACTTTATTTTTCTTGTTAACAGGTTCAGCAACGAGTTTGGAGGAATCAAGGGAATCGACACCGTCTGCAAATGCGTTAGATAAAAAATATGAAAGTGATATAGAAGTGCTTAGCAATCCGAGTCAGAGTAGCATCGAGGTTCTAGATGATGGGTCAAGGTAAACTGTATTTTTTCCATACGCAATTATTCGACCTATTCGTTCGTGCAAAATTTCTTATTTATCGACGTATCGACGTATCCACGTAGAACACATCTTACACCGCATAGAAAGCGCTCTTCAGAGGAAAGACGGGCTGCTGTTGTTCCGTGTCTTTTGACGATACCAGATGCAGCACCAATCGTGACTGGTTTAACAGAGAGTAGTTCTTCGGGTTTGTTAACATTTTTATTACATTTTTCGCCATGAAAATTGCTATAAATTTATTACTATTAATAAAACTGTGTGTGTCTGTAGGTTCTTTGACGGATAGTGTCTGTACCGCGTACGAAAATAAAGTAACCAGACGAATAAGCGTGGATGAAAAGTCCCTTAGTAACAATAATAAAGAGATTAAATCTTCGCCTGTGACGAATTTAACTTCTATGCTAGGAGGTTGGTAACAATATGTGTTTTTAATTGCATCACGTTTAGCTCTGTATGTGTATCAATTTTAGGATTACTTCAAAGTATAAAAATTGGTAGTAATAAACCGTTAGAGTTAAAAACGGAACAAGCGTCGCATTTAATGGGTAGTAATGTTCGGTATTCTTATACGGATTTCAACAGTATAGATCATAGAATAAAATTACATATCATTTTGAATATATTCGAACATGAAAACGAAGAGCTTATTCTTCTTCTCAGAGTAATGTATTCTATACATTAAACAGATTCTATATGAACAAACCTGTTTTTTAAATGGACATTTTAAATGAATATTGTTAATTTATTCGTAAACTTTTAGGCAGAGATCCTAATGCAAAATATGAAAGATACGTTTCCTGGTTGTTTGGTTTTATCTACGTCGAAAGTTTACGTTCTTAAAATCGTTGGACCAGAAGGGTAATGACAAAGTAAAATATAATTCTGTCAAAATTTCACTTGTTAGAAATCTGTTACATTTCTTTTCAATTGCCGTTACACAGAGAAAATCCACAACGCTGGCTGCACAAAGAAATTAGCTGGACGATAGACAGATTAAGACGTTTCTCGCCGATACCATTTAAACAAGGTGTTCTAATTGAATTAGAACAACCTAACAAAACAAACGACGAACTGAATTCTACTATTACATTTCTCTGCGTTCTGCAAGACTTACAAAGAACGCTCAATTTCTTGCTTTACGTTACTGGTAAGAAATAAAAGTGTTTGATATTTTAATATAATATTTAGATGTAAATACATATGAGGTAATGATTTTTTCTTCATAGATTTCTTGTTACCACCTATTTGCGAAGAAGTTGAACTCAAAATATCAGAACGTTGTACTTCTCTGATGCGCCAATTGTTAAAAAATTGCAAAAATTACCAGGATAAAGATACTGTTAGACACCTCGCTTTATTCTCTTCTGCGTTATTGAGATATCAAGACCGAGAAGTTCAACTTAAATTATCTAGCTTAGTAATAACTGCTTCTGTTTTGGTGATATGCAATATGCAGTGGCTTCTTCCAGGCAATAAGGAATCACCGTGCGTATTGAGAGAACAAACAATGAGCAATTTGATTGGAGTTGTAAGTATCAAAGTAATATAATTGATAAAACTGAAAAAAAGAATCTTTGCAAAAAAACTATACTTTTGATTTTTTTGTGCTTAACGTATTATTTGTTATATTTTTAGGAACATTGTAACTCTTCGCTAACCTTGAATTTCTTAGACGAAATAGTAGGAGAAGAAGAAGCATGGATTTTGAACTTTGTTACCACGAGCGCTGCTGAAGTAGTTATTACTTCTATACGATCTCCATGGGAGGAATTATTTTCGATTCCTTTACAAAATATGATTTCCAAATCACAAGATAACGCGAGGACGGAAAACTAACACGTACAGGAAAGTATATTCTAGTCAAATAAAACGTATCGAATGAATTTCTAAGCGAATACAGGTTTATATCAAATTCATAGTTTACGTAATTTTGTACGTGTTACTCACGGACAATTAATTTATAAAAAATTTGTAATTTAATTACACGAAGAAAAAATAGTATGACATTTGACGAACAAAAATATACAAAATTATATAATGTAACAAATACTCTGTCGTAGATTAATACTAATTTTTAATTTGACGTATTTTGTATTTTTCTTGGAGCTGCTTATTTATGATAAAATAATGATGTTGTAATATTTATGACGAAGAAAATACCATGTAAAAATAAGAAAAATATTTAAATATTTAATGTAAACAGTTATTTTCGTATCTAAAAAAATTAATTATATGTACACATATATTTATGTTGTGTGTGTGTGTGTGTGT